ATGTGTTAAATCATTGTAAAACAATAGTGCAAAAATGTAATTGTGATCCAAAACTAAATACAGTCACAGCTGATTTTACAGTTGCTCGGCCTCAGTTTTCTTACATTGAGAGATTTATTAAAATACTTGTTGTACTTCATGAAAAACAATAACCTTTTCTCTGTTAAATGGATAAAACAAATCCTTTAATGCTGTGCACTGATCTGTGTTTAAACTCTCAGCTGCCAAGCAGGATGAGTCCTGTTACATCGCAGCTCCTGTCTGTTTCTCTCCAATCTAGTTATCTAATCCTATTACTTCACTAATTAACTGCAGCCGCTGGTATTTTTAGCATCTAGATCAGCCTGGCATCCGCATAACCTGTATCTGTAAATCGGGACTCAACATTTCGATCAGATAAATGCAAGGTTTAGCTTTGTTTTTATTCCTGACTAACAAAGATAGGTAAAATCTTTTTTGCTTTATTGAAACACTTTCAAGTGAGTAATTGGGCTGAGTAATAAAACTTTTTGGACAAAAGTAACACCATTAATTTTATGTTACTTTAACTTTTGTTGTTAAAGCAGGTTTGGGCGTTTCGGGCATTTATTGGTCATATACCATATCTTCCTATTTTTCAAACTCAGCATTGACCTTGGACACTTGTTTTGAAACAGCTGAGAGGAAGACTGAAGAGTGATGTGAAGTGACAAGAGGGATCACCACCGATCTGCCAAAGACACACATCCAGTCCAAAAATAAATATGAAAATTCTGCGTCAGTCAATCTCAGAATAAAACAAAACTGTGAATAAACTCCCATCTAACTCATATTGCAATTGAACTGCAAGGATTAAAGGTTTCTTTATTATCATTCGCACCACATGTGGTGGAACGAAATTGTGTACACAGGTTCCAAGTTACATCCAATAAAAGTTTAAAATGTAACAGAAAAACAGTAATAAGATCTAAGATATGAACTAAGAAAAACATTAACTAAAAATACACTAAGGACTAGTAGAATAATAACACGCCGAACAGCAGCACGAACACGAGTCAGTGTGAGCAGATGAGCATGAATGAACACAGCATGAAACGGATCAGCAGCAACATGAAATAGATCAGCAGCAACATGATGTGATTTTTCACAGTGATTATCCTGGTTACATGTTTATGAGTCTAACAGCCTCAGGGTAGAAGCTGTTCCCCAGTCTAGTGGTTCTACACTTAATGCTCCTCATCCTCCATCCTGAGGGGAGTGGGGCAAAAAGTGTGTGTGCTGGGTGAGTGTGGTCCTTCATGATGCAGGTGGCCCTCTTCCTGCATCTGGAGGTGTAGATGTATGTGATGGTGGGGAGGCTGACTCCAACAGACTTCTGTGTAGTGGTTAATATCAAAGTTTGAACCTGACAACCTGTTTCAGGTCTCTCTTGTAAATGAGTCCCCGAGGCTCAATGGGAAAACCTGTATAAATAAAGGTTGAATGAATGAATGACAAGGTTGAGTCAGGTCCTCTGGATGGATTTTTCTTTAATGAAATGTTTTGTCTTTTATTCAAAAGACTTATTATGTCTAAGGAGCTGCAAGTAAACAAGTCCTATAAGCAGCACCTTCTCATAGTGGATCAACCAGTTTGCCTGGTTGCAAAAAGAGGACCATCAGCCTAACGACCAATCGTTACTGCCCTGATGGCCGCTTGCTATTCACTGAGGGCGTAATGATACAATAACAGCATTGTAAGAGGGAGACAGTTGAACACAGAGGCCTCCACCTCTGTTTAATGATGGACAATTTCTTTTCACAAAGATGGCCTCCTTTACTCCTCTCTCAAACCATTGTTCCTCTCTGTCCAGGATGTGAACATCTTCATCCCTGAAAGAGTGACCGCTGGCCTGGAGATGAGTGAAGACCACAGAATCCTGGCCTGATGTTGTTGATCTTCTGGGCCATCCTTTTGGCCAGTGGCTGTTTAGTTTCCTCGATGTAAGACTGATCACAGCCCTCCTGACACTGAACAGCATACACAATGTTACTCTGTTTGTGCCGGGGGACTGGATCTTTGGGATGAACCAGTCTTTGCCGTAATGCATTTTGGGGTTTAAAAGACTCTGGGACGTTATGTTTAGAAAATACTGTAAACGTCTCAGTTTCTCTGAAACTCTTGCAACATACAGAATGACCACTGGTCTGGGTCTGGGTTCCTCCTTTTCACCTGATGGCTGACTGGAGTCCTGTTTGGGTTTCTTCTCTGTTTTCAGGACGGCCCAGTTAGGATATCCATATTTCTCTAGAGCCTGTCTTGTGTGGGATTTCTCCTTCTGCCTGGCTCCTGAAGAGGGGACGCTGTCTGCTCTGTGGTACAGAGTCCTGATGACCATCAGCGGAGAGGAGGGAGACGCGCTCACCACTTTCAGTAAGAACAAGAACATCATCATAGTCCCAGTAGACAAAATAAGGTGTGAAGTGATTTTGAACCAGAAAGGCTATTATGAGAAAGTTATGACACTCCTTTGTGACTTAACTACTTATGAGCCACTGAAAAGAGATTCAAGAAGTGGTTACAAGAAGTTCATAGAGTGCCTGAAACATTTGGAGCAGGAGAAGGCTATTGACCATATTTTGTACCACTAAGTAAACACTTAATTCAATAAATATTTTAGAGAGCAC